TCTTGACAAGGGTCTTACCAGTGACTTGGGAAAGCAAAATCACTGCTATTCAGGAATCAAAGAACATTGCTACTCTCAAGTTGGATGAACTGATTGGAAACCTCACTGCCTATGAACTGAGAAGGAAAACCATGAAAATGGATGCACCCAAGAAGAAGAGGAGTCTGGCTCTCAAAATAGCTGAAGGTGCAGATCCGGAGGATGATGAAATGACCATGATCACAAGGGATTTCAAAAAGTACCTAATGAGAGGAAAGGATACTTCAAGAGGTACAACCTTCAACAAACCAAGGGCTCCTGAGAAACAGACCAACGAGGGTTGTTACAAATGTGGCAAGACTGATCACATGATCAAGAACTAGCCTCTGTGGGAAATTGAATGGAAGAAGGAAAGGGCTGAACGAAGGAATAGGAAGAAGGAATAGGTTCAACCCAAAAGAAACAAAGGATCAACAAAGGCTACGGTTGCTGCTTGGGGAGAAACATCATATGAGGATTCAGAAGATGAAGCTAGAGATGAATAAGCACTTATGGACATCGGAGAATCAGATGATGAACAAGAGGTAAGTGTCCTTCATATCAAAGACAAGATTAAATTTCTGTCTAAAGAAAGGTTATCTGAACTATTGCTGGACTTCATCGATAAGTCTGAAATAATTAACAATGAGAAGGAAGAGCTATCTAGGGAGTGTGTGTTCTTAAAAGCCAAGTGCAAATATCTAGAATCTAGGGCTAATGAGAGTGATAGTAAAAATGCTGAGTTGAAGAACCAGGTTCTTGAACTTGACACTAGTGTCCTAGAACTTAGGTCTGAAAATTTAAAACTAAAACTAGGAACAAGTAAGAAGAAAGCTGATCACACACATCACACCTTATAAGAAAACCTAGGAAAAATGAAGGATGAGTTGTATAAGAAAGATGGGCAGATAAGAGTCTTAAAGGAAGACCTAAGGAAGGTAAAGCATGAACCAGACAGAAATTGCAAATCGAATAAGGTTTCTGATGTATTATCCTGGCTACAAGAACGTCACAGTAGCAACAAGAGAGGACTTGGTTATGGGGCACAAGCACCTAAGTGGGACCCCAAAAGCAAGTACCTCACTCTTCCTGAAAACAAAATTTGCACAGGCAAGACCGGTCATTACAAAAATGAATGTAATGCAAAAGAAAAGGCCAGTCAAAAGAACAAAACTTTTGTTCAAGAGAAAAATAGGCTGCCTGGGTGGGCTAAAAGGAATTTAATTTACCCCTTTGCCTATAGAAAGGGACCCAAACTAGTTTGGGTTCCTAAGACTAACCCCTGATTTCTTTGTGCAGGTCCAAGTGAAGGGAAGTAGCCAAATATGGTACATGGATAGTGGTTGCTCAAAACATATGACTGGAAGCAAGAACCGGTTCCTTTCACTTGAGGACTTAAAAGGAGGTAATGTCTCCTTTGGAAATGGGAAGAAAGGTGAAATTACTGGGGTTGGAAAGGTAGGTAAGACAGACTCACACTCCATTGAGAATGTCTACTTGATAGATAGTTTGAAATATAGCCTAATAAGTGTATCACAACTGTGTGACAGAGGTAACCTTGTAGCATTTACCTCTACCAAATGCTTTGTGATTAACCTTACCACTAACAAGATTGTTTTGCAGGGAAAAAGAGTTAACAATATTTACATTGTAGATTTATTTACTCTTTCAGAAAATGAACTCACTTGCTTGAGTGTGTTGGACAATGATCCCCTCCTGTGGCACAAAAGACTTGGTCATGCAAGTCTGAATCAACTCAACAAATTAGTCTCCAAAGACTTGGTGATAGGGTTACCTAACATTAAGTTCAAGGAAGACAAAGGTTGCGAGGCCTGTGCAAGGGGGAAGCAGGTAAGATCATCCTTTAAAAGCAAGAAAATGGTAAGCACAACCAGGATGTCGGAACTGGTTCATATGGATCTCTGTGGTCCAATGAGAACATTGAGCAGAGGAGGTAAGAAATATGTGATGGTACTTGTTGATGATTATTCTAGGTTTACCTGGGTACTATTCTTAACATCTAAGGATGAAGCATTTGACATGTTTACTGCCTTTGTTAGAAAGACTCAGAAACAAATAGGTAATCAACTTGCATCCATCGGGTCTGATCATGGAACTGAATTTGAAAATGTTAAGTTTGCTGAATATTGTGATGAGCATGGTATATATCATAACTTCTCTACCCCTAGGACTCCTCAACTAAATGGAGTAGTTGAAAGAAAGAATAAGACCCTTGAAGATATGGCTAGGACTATGCTTCTTTCTAGTAAACTGCCCCATAGCTTCTTGGCAGAGGCTGTAAACACTGCATGTTATATCATAAATAGATGCATGACTAGACCTCTTGTAGAGAAGACTCCCTATGAGTTACTTAAAGGGAAAAAACCAAATAAATCCCATCTTAGGGCATTTGGATGCAAGTGCTTTTGTGTCACTAATAATAGAAAGGTACTCCCTAGGTAAATTTGATCCCAGAAGTGATGAGGGAGTATTCTTGGGATATCTTCACATAGAAAAGCATATAAAGTGTTCAATAAAAGAATTTTGTGTGTAGAAGAAAGTGTACATGTAGTGTTAGATGAAACTAACATTCTTTCTGAGAGACAGGAACATGAAGATGAAGCTATTGNNCCTGTTCCTCAGCAACAGAACATGGGAGAAACATCTAGCAGAAATCAGTTGGTTGTGAAACCTCACAAGTATCAAAGTTCTCATCCTATTGAGAACATAATCACTGATCCAACATCTGGAGTCAAAACTAGATCACAATTAAAGAATTTGTGTGCTTTTGATGCCTTCCTATCTATTACTGAACCTAAAATATGTTGAGGCTTTGCAGGATACAAATTGGGTGAATGCAATGCAAGATGAATTCAATCAGTTCGCAAGAAGTCAAGTTTGGCATCTAGTTCCAAGACCCAAGGACAGATCAGTCATTGGCACAAAATGGGTCTTCAGAAACAAACTTGATGAAGATGGAACAGTTACAAGAAACAAGACAAGACTGGTGGTCCAAGGTTACAGCCAAGAGGAGGGTATAGATTATGATGAGACTTTTGCTCCAGTTGCAAGACTAGAGGCAATAAGACTCCTCATAGCCTTTGCAACACACATGGAATTCACTCTCCATCAGATGGATGTCAAAAGTGCCTTCCTGAATGGCTACCTAAAAGAAGAAGTGATTGTGAGACAACCTCCAGGGTTTGAGAGCAAGGAATGTCCTGAGCATGTGTATAAATTAGACAAGGCTCTCTATGGACTCAAGCAGGCTCCTAGAGCATGGTATGAACGATTGTCCAAATTCCTGCTTGAGCATAGCTACAAAAGAGGTAAAATTGACAGTACTCTAATCTTGAGGGAAAAAGGTAAGGATCTTCTTGTGGTACAAATATATGTTGATGACATAATTTTTGGAGCAACCTCTGACAAACTAAGTAAGGATTTTGCAAAATTAATGGGGAGTGAGTTTGAAATGAGTATGATGGGTGAGCTTAACTTTTTCTTAGGCTTACAGATCAAACAAAGCCCAAATAGAACCATGATCCATCAGCAGAAATATGCAAAGGAGCTGATCTAAAAGATTAAAATGGATGAATCAAAGGAAATAGACACCCCCATTGCAACTACCACTAAATTAGACATAGATGAACCTGGTTCATCTGTTGATCAAAAGTTGTATAGGGGTATGATTGGTTCACTTTTGTATCTTACTGCCAACAGACCTGAAATAGTTTTCAGTGTAGGGCTTTGTGCTTGCTTTCAGGCTAATCCAAAGGAATCTCACTTGACTACTGTTAAGAGGATACTGAGATATTTGAAAGGCACTACTGATCTGTTCCTTTGGTACCCTAAAGGTAGTAATTTCAATCTAGTAGGGTATGCTGATGCTGATTATGCAGGTTTCCTTGTAGATAGGAAGAGCACCTCAGCTATGGCTCATTTTCTTGGTTCATGTCTTGTATCATGGGCCACTAAAAAGCAGAATTCAGTGGCCTTATCCACTGCTGAGGCTGAATATGTTGCTGCTCCCTCTTGTTGTGCTCAATTGCTATGGATCAAACAGCAGCTGATAGATTTTGGCATTGAAGTTGGTTGCATTCCTATCTTCTGTGATAACACTAGTGCTATAAGTATGACAGAGAAACTTGTTCATCATAAAAGGACTAAACACATAGATGTTAGACACCACTTCTTAAGAGATAACTATGAGAAATGATTGATCTCCATAGAATTCTGTGCTACTGATAAACAAATTGCTGACATCTTCACTAAAGCACTGACTAGAAAAACTTTGAGAGGAACAGGTTGGAATTTAGGGATGATTAAGATTTCCTAATGGGACTAGCTCAGAATGAAAAAAAAATATTCAAAAAAAAAAGAAAAAAAAAGGATTTTTTTTTGGCTAGGAAATTTGAACTTGTGTAAATATCCAGATTAATTTTTACTCAGCTTCATACTGTAATTAGTATACTCCTGTGACATGTGTTAATATGACTCACTGATCTCTTACAACATTTTCTCTATTATGATAAATTGAGGCATGTTCAAGAGAATTCCAAATGAAGAACCTGGTTCATCAGTATAGGTTCATCTGAAAGCTAAGGTATGTTTTCTACACTGCACAATTAGAAATATAAATATTTAAATCATGAGCAGATGTCCTACAATTGTTCAATTCCTTAGAAAATTCTATCCGTTAGCTTTGAACCAGTTCGGTCAGCCTTATAACTCTAAACCACAAAATTTCCTAAAATCTAGGGAAGCTTAACCGATCATTCAAACCTACAATTTTAGGTTGATTAGACCTCTAATTGACCACTGCTAAAACTGCCGTTATAGATTAAATGTGTATTTCTCTTTAAACATACATCATTACATCCTGCCATCCCCATAATTCTAAACCGTCAAAAATCCCTCTTCACTTTCATTTGCTTTCTTCTCCAAAATTCTAACTCACCAATTCTCTCAAGAAACCAGTGTTCATGACAAACCCACAAGACAATCCTAGAACCCCTCCACAGCCCACTCTCTCTGATTCATCTACCCCTCCTCCACCCAGTACATCTCCCAAACCCAGGCTGAGAAGGGTGAAAATGCTTGCTCGAAAAAACAGTAGCATCTGGGGCTCTCAAGAGGAAATTAAATGAGAAATTGAAGGCAAGCCAGGTCCAAGACTCTGACTCCAACTCTGATTCTGAGTCATACAAATCTGCTAGTGAGGGGGAAGGACCTGGGTCTTCTCACTCTGAAAAGTCTAAAAAATTCCCTTCCAAGGTAAGTTCTGCTTTATCTAAAAATCTAGAAACTAGGTTTGTTCTGGTTGGGCCTATCAGGGATGTAGAATTACCTGAGTTACGAAGAAGTGGAGGTAAAAAGAAATCTGAAAAAGAAAAAGAGAGAGAGGGTGCATGTTGTGAAGAGAGGGGAAATGGGAAAAGAGTGGTTGATCATTCACCCACTGCTGGTTTGGCTGTGCTTGCTATCTGTGGGATTGAACAAGAACATGTAGAAGAGAGTGGCAAGAAGTCAGGGGGAAGTGGTTCTGGTGAAGCTGCTGAAGGGTTGGTTAACATAAGTTCACAGAGAGATGAACCTGGTTCATCAGTTGAAGAGACCCTAGCAGACCTTTTGAAAAGGGTTGGGGCGAGTTATGACCCAAGGAAAAGAAGAACCACCACATCAAAAGTTCCCAGTGCTCCTAAACACTCTAAAAAAATATAGGCTTCATCCCCAACACCTACTGACACTTCCTTTCCAAAGGGAAGAGCCACAAGAAGTAGGGTTAAACAGAGTGAGAATGATCTACAAAAGGCCTTAGCTGAAAGTAAGAAGAAAAGAATGGATAAAGGAAAAGGGAAGGTTGCAGAGTCCTCAGAGGCTATTGAAGTTGAGGAGATGGAACAGGTCCATCAAGAAAAGGTTACAACAGAGGAGGTTCAGACCCCCAAGCCCAAAAGGCCAAAGATTTCTTCCAAGAAGTCTTCTTCTGTGTCTGCAGCTGCTGAACCTTCATTAGCCAAGAGGACAAGGTCTGCAGTGAAAAGTAAACAAGTAAGACTCTCTGAAGATGAGGAACGGAGTGGAGAAGAAGAAGAAGATGAGTCTGATGGTGATCAAGACAAGCTTGCCATGTTTGGCAAAAGAAAATTTTTGAAGGGTAGATTCCTGAAAGACCTGGTGGAACCAGGAATGATAAGACTGGTAGATGCCTTGGCTGCTCAGAGGTGGAAGGACATGGTGTCACGACCCAAACTGGAGGGCCATGACTAGCACCCGGCCATACTTACCGAGTACCAACATACATTTTATCTAACCTTCTTTATTATCTTTTAGGGTTGACGAGATCAATATAAATGGTAGACATGGGTCATGGACAACCAACAATAAAATATGATGGCATGAACATACATAACATGGGATGACTAGACAATCAAGAAACTATATATAAGGTACGAGCTACCACACTACCATGAGAGACTATACAATAAAAACCAGCCGACAAGGCCTACCAAACTATACATGAGTCGACACCTGTCTATGAGCCTCTAAAGGAACATAAGTGTTGCAACATAGCCGGAACAGGGCCCCGACATACCCATAATATCTATAACAAAAATGCATACCAAGACCAAGGCAAGTCCGAAGAAGGGATCTCGCCAATCACCGTTGAACTGGACAGCCTACTATGGTGGGGGAGCTGCGCCTGCCTGTCCATCAGGACCTGCAGCACGACATGCAGCGTCCACAAATAAAAGGACGTCAGTATGAATAAAGTACTGAGTATGTAAGGCAGGGAACCATAAGTACGAACAGTAATGTAAGCAGGGATAGAGAATAAACAACCTGTAACATCTGGATACCTCTGAGGACTACTGACATGAAATGCTTGATACATATGTATATATACATAAACTTTTAAAACATATGCCTCTGTGGGCATCATCATCATCATATCGTACCCGGCCGTAATAGGCTCGGTAAAAACGTACCCGGCCACGTGGAGCTCGGTAAAACCCAACTGATCAGTGGTTGCACAATAGGTGCCGTACCCGGCCGACTATAGCGCTGCTCGGTAGAGTAAAATAGATACATATATATAATGCATGCTCGACTCATGGACTCACGTTCTAAACCTTTCGGAGTGACGTAAGGTCGGTATCCTCTGTACACGTTATTAGGACTAACTCTTCACCATGAACCTTATAAGAATCAGGAAGTACCAATAACATTGATAACATAAGAATAAGAGAAGCAACATCAACATCAATCGTTCCATAAGAGGGGTAACAATGTAAGTACTGCTAGCTTCTAAGAGTAGAGTATCTTTGGAAGCTCGTTCATTACATTATGTACAATCGGAGTCGTGCAAAAGAAGGAAAGGGATAGCCTCACATACCTTGTATATACTGCCCCAATCTCAAGCTATGCAATTTTCACGACTCCTTAGTCTACAATAAGAGAAACGATACTATAGTTACCATTCAAGCGTCATAACTATTATGTATCGACCACAACCTATTTTACGATGAAACGGACAGCACCTCCCCTATATATATGACTTCACACAATTCCAAACAATCACCAAACAGCCTAAACAACATCAATAATAATCATATTGAGCCTCCCAAAACAGTCCACGCACAACCAAATCACTTCATACATACGACGGCCACCGTAGTCGTGTCAAACGACCCGGAAATGTTACGAAGAACTACCAGCCCACAACCCTACATCTATATGGTGTTTCTCCACACCCTTCCTCCTCCAAAACTCCACAAAACAGTAGTAAAACACGCAGCCCAACAGCAACACAAAACAGTCCACAAAACAGTCCGCTACAAGTGAATAACTCGAACTCACGGCTTCCGATCACCGTCCCGTGAGTTCTTACATGTATAGAACGAATTACCATGAATTCACAGCAGAATAAATGTATGAAAGATAGCAGTAAACTCACCTTACTTGTTGGATAACTCAGCCCTTATCTTGGTTCTTCAAACTCTAGGGTTTACCCCCAATTTGAACTTGAAAGAGAGGGAAAATCAATTAGGGTTTGTGGATAATTTTTGGGAGGAAGTTTGCAGGGGTTTAGGTCTGGTTATTTGTGAAATATAATGAGGGATATATTGCAGAAGATAAGCCTTTTAATGGGCTCTTTGTCTGACCCGAAATTGCCTCTTTTTGGGCTATCATTTAACCAAGTAGGTGACCCACCTACTTGTCACCTAGCAGCTTGTGCAGTCTCGCAAAAATGTCTATATCTCTCTACTCCAATGTCGTATTGATAAAAGGTTTAATGCGTTGGAAACTAGACTCATAGATCTTCAATTTGGTGGGTAGATCACCCCGTAATTCCAAGTATATTGGGAGAAAAGCTTAATAACATTTGACCTAAAGTTTAAGTAAAACTATGAACTTAAGTTGCAACAACTCTTGTCGACTTTTGTTTCATAACTCGTTTGACTTCAAGACTATGATACGGATATTTTATGATTCATATACCTTAAAATACGACCTCTTGAGAGTATTAAGCACCCCTAGGTTTACCCAAAAATACGGCTGACAACATCCTTGATTCGTTTAACTTCTAATACTTGTTAACCACCCTTATACACCTTTGTATCATTTAAGACCAATAGGATTAATCTCTTATCATCTCAAAGATAATCTCTTCATGGATTTACGTCGACGACCTTATGGCATGAACTAACGTATGTGAATATGGGTTGTAACACCCTCCCCCCCTTAGGAACATTCGTCCTCGAATGTAAGGGTTTATGGGGAGTCCAAATCATCGTGGATTCCAACGGAAATTCCCGGTCAATTTTCCCCTATAAAATGGTTACTAGCAAAACTTGCAAGCAGTTTAGCCCAACGTATGGCCTCACAAGGCTACACAAATCATTATGGACATGTACATTATCTACATATCACCATTTTGTATTAAGGAAGAGTATTCTCAAGTTATTGCTTACCTCATAGAGCCGTTTCACCTTCTAATGTATCCTGCGTTCCACCAGCATCCTTGTTATCTTCATTCTGGAATAGGTAAGGATATTTAGAACTCATCTCCTCTTCCGCTTCCCATGTCATTTCTTCCATATTCTTGTTCCTCCACAATACTTTGACAGAAGCTACATCTTTTGTTCTCAGCTTGCGGACTTGTCGATCTAATATAGCCACTGGCACTTCATCATATGATAGATCCTCTGTAACTTGTACATCTTTGATAGGGACAACTCGAGAAGGGTCTCCAATACATTTCCTCAACATAGATACATGGAATACTGGATGGACAAATTCCAATTCGGATGGCAATTCTAACTCATAAGCAACCTGTCCAATTCGTCGAAGAATTTTGTACGGACCGATATACCGTGGACTCAGCTTACCCTTTTTCCCAAAACGCATAACACCCTTCATCGGCGAGATCCTCAGGAAAACCCAATCACCAACCTCAAACTCCAGATCACGACGTCGGACATCAGAATAAGACTTTTGCCTGCTTTGTGCCGTCCTCAATCGCTCCTGTATCACTTTCACCTTCTCAATGGCTTGGTGAATCAAATCTGGCCCATATAATTCTGTTTCACCGACTTCGAACCATCCAACTGGTGATCTACATCTCCTCCCGTATAGTGCCTCGTATGGGGCCATTTTAATACTGGAATGGTAGCTATTATTGTAGGCAAATTCTATGAGTGGAAGATGGTCATCCCAATTTCCCTTAAAATCTAGAACACATGCTCGTAGCATATCTTCAAGTGTCTGAATGGTACGTTCAGCCTGTCCGTCAGTCTGTGGATGAAATGCAGTGCTGAGATTCACTTGTGTGCCTAAACCCTTCTGAAAAGACCTCCAAAAGTTAGCCGTAAATTGAGCTCCTCGGTCTGATATAATAGATATTGGTACACCATGAAGCCTAACAATCTCCTTGATATACAACTTCGCATAATCTTCAGCCGTGTAAGTTGTCTTAACTGGCAGAAAATGGGCACATTTTGTAAGTCGATCAACTATCACCCAGATGGAGTCAAACTTATGATAAGAGCGAGGTAACCCAATAATGAAGTCCATATTAATCACCTCCCATTTCCAGGTCGGAATCTCTATATTCTGAAGCAATCCACCGGGTTTCTGATGTTCGATCTTTACTTGTTGACAATTAGGACACTGGGCTACAAATTCTGCAATAGACTTCTTCATGTTATCCCACCAATACTGCTCCTTAATGTCATGATACATCTTTGTCGAGCCGGGATGGATGGAATATCGGGATTGATGAATCTCATTCATAATCTTCTCTCGCAACCCTGCCACATTAGGCACACATAATCGGCCCTGGTATCTCAGTGCCCCATCTCCTCCGATCTCAAAAGCCGTAATTTTACACTGCTGAATGCTCTCTCTCAATCGTACTAAGATATGATCTTCATATTGCCGTGCTTTTACCTCGGCTACCAAAGATGATTCTGATGTATTATGTACAGTAACAGCTCCGTCATCAGAGTCTAACAATCTGATTCTCATATTGGCTAGCTGATGAAGCTCTTTAGTCAACCCCCATCTACCTGCCTCAATATGTACTAAGCTTGCCATTGACTTACGGCTGAGAGCGTCTGCCACAACATTGGCTTTACCGGGATGATACAATATCTCGACGTCGTAGTCTTTCAGTAATTCAAGCCACCTACGCTGCCTCAAATTCAACTCTTTCTGCTTGAAGATGTATTGTAAACTCTTGTGATCTGTGTAGATGTCAACATGGACGCCGTATAAGTTGTGCCGCCATATCTTCAAAGCATATATTACTGCAGCCAATTCCAAATCATGGATTGGATAATTCTTTTCATGCTTCTTCAATTGTCTTGATGCATAAGCAATCACCTTCTCACGTTGCATCAATACGCACCCCAAACCTATACCTGAGGCATCACAATATACCACGTAACCTTCTGGTCCTTCGGGAAGAGTGAGCACTGGTGCAGATGTCAATCGATTCTTTAACTCCTGAAAACTTTGTTCACAAGCGTCAGACCACTGGAATTTAGT